AGCAGGATGGAGAAATGGAGAAGGATTGCAACATGACCACACCCAGTGGGGGTGCTTTCTCCCTCCCTTCCTCCCTCCCTCTCTCTCTGTCTCTTTGGTGAGCACGCATGCCCTCCACCAATTAAAAAGAAAATACACAAATACACTTAAATTGAAGAATCACTGCCAAAGTCCTGGCCAGGACTTTGTTTTGTTTTGTTTTTAATAGGAAAACCACGTTCACGTTTTCATCTTAGCAATAAGCTTGCCGCACAATCCTGGAGAAATTGCTGGGCCCCTCACACCTCCATGTGTCCCCTGGCTGAGAATATCGAATGAGGCCCTTTTCAGCCTAAAATTGCTACTACCTAAAACAAAATAAGCTTGAGTGAGGAATGGTGTTAGGTGTTGTAAGAAATTTCATAAGGCATCCAGACATATTAAGTCTGGAAACATAGAAAAATGATATATATTTATTATTTTTACAGGTTGAAACCACCCTCAATAACATGTATATATGTTGGCCTTATTTCAGAATTTGGGGGCATGTTTATTTTAAGAAGTGTATATATGTGTACAAATGTGATATGGCATGAATTACAAGAACTTAAAATAGGGTGTCAGGCCTAGATCTATTCTAATGGAAAATAGCTGTCATTTCTCTAATTTGCCCTTTGAGATTATAAAGTATCACATTTGTTAGAGTCAAAGATTATGGGTAGAACTCAATTTAAAAGATGCTCTTTTAAAAAATGACAGTTTCATCTCTTTAGTTAAATTAAAGTAAATCATAATCTTTTTATGAAGGAAATAAGACAGAAATTTCCCAAGTTCACTCGTTTAAGCTTAATCCAGAATATTATCACTATGATGAACATAAATTGGTAGTTTCTTCTCTTTTCTGATCTCTATTCCTCCAAAAATCACATTTTTGTATACATAGCCACAACCACTCTTCATTGACAAGACTTGTAGAGAGAAATTTAGTTTGGTTTCTGGCCTTCTCCACATGTGCAATTCAATGACTCAGCATATTAAGAGTATATCTTGGGGCGGGAACCAGCAGTTAGCGTAATGGCTATGTCGCTGGATTCCCACGTAGTCGACCACGGTTCGCATCCTGGACCCGGTGGCTTAAAACTCACGCCGGGCGCGTGTGTGTGCGTGCCCAAGATCCCGAGAGGAGAATGGAGGAGAAGGGATTGCGCCGTGACCATCCTCCCTGGGGGGTGATTTCTCGCTTTCTGTCTCTCTGTCTCTCTCTGTCTGTCTGGTGAGCGCACACGCCCTATAGCGAAAAACCTCTCTCAAAAAAAAAAAAAGAGTATATCTTGGGGTTAGCAGGTGGCGTGGAGGTTGGGGTGCTAGATCCCACAAGGCTGTGTGGTTCAAGTCCTGGGTCCAATGGCTTGAAATTGATGCTGGACGCATATGTGTGCGTGCCTAAAACTCTGAGAGGAGACTGGAAGAGAAGGCATGGCCATCCCCTCTGAGGGCTGATTTCTCACTTTCTTTCTCTCCCTCTGTCTCTCTTTCTCTCTGGCAAGTGCATGCTCTGTATAGCAAATTATATATCTTAATTCCTTGCTGAACAAGTTTCATGATTGACTTATCAAAAAATGTCTTACAACACTTAATATGATTCCTTCATGCAGTCTATGTTAATACAGCAGCACACATGTATGCATGTTTCTTCAGGAAAATAAGCAGATGCTACACAAGATATGATATGAGTTAAACGGTTACCAAATCCAGTAGCGGTATCATATTGGACCAATGGCGTCTTCACACTGCCTTCATCTGTAGTGCAGGTGATCTGGAAAATGAAGACTAGACGAAAGGGAGAAGAGGTAAATGACTTGGTACTCAATGCCTACAAATACAGAGTAAATTCTTTTTAAAGAACAATGTATCATAAATTTAAAAAATATTTAAACAGAATTTTGGAGCAAATTGTGAGGTTTTTATCTAACAGGTAAACATGTTTTTAATTTATAAACGAATAAGAAAAAGAACTGTAGTTAGAGTAAAAGAGCATATCCATAAACAATAGAGCTAAAGAAGATCAGGGTTTATACATCAAAGGAAAGAATAATCGAAGGAGTAAAAGTAAAGGAAAATACACAAAGTATATGTCTTGGTCTGCATGTGAGCTAAAGCTTCCCCTTTAAAACTTACTGGTGTACCTTGCACCACGTGACCTAGAGGTTCTTACTCAACAGGGGAGCTCTTAAAAGGGATCTTAGATATCAGATGGTTCAAATGCCTCTGTTGATAGCCAGGAAGTTACAAGAAGTGACTCTCAGAAGGTCACACAGATGGCTAAAGGCCTGGCCAGGGAGAACCCACATTGCCAGCTGTCAGGCCATCTTCCCATCACAACAAACTACCCAGATGACCAAAACCTGCAACCACGAAAATGGGCAGCAGAATTGTTGTAAAAATGTCCTTAAGTTTCAAATAACATAAATGTAATGCCAAAATTTGCCTCTTAGGCAAAATAAATAGTATTTTTCAAGTAAACCAAAATACCCACTAACAATTGGGTTGTCAGAAAAGTCATGACGCGTTTTTTGCATAGAAAAGCATTGTGTAAACCCAGATTGCTTCAAATAGCTGAATATTGATTGGTCTTGTGGTCACACTGATCGCTAGAAAGTACTTAGCACCTGTAAAGATTTTAATTTATACGCAATGCAAAGAGAAGAGGGATATGTAATCAAATGGGGAGAGTTCAGTCTTAGAAGGAAAGTGTAGTTCTTTCGCGGTGCTGATACTGCAGAAGGTTAAGGAAATTCCTAACTCAGGGTCCTTTAGAGCTGAGAGCATTGATGACTGATAGGGCTCTGTTTGGAGGCTGGGGGTTCATGGCAGAAATCTCAGCAGTCCCTGAGAGTGGGCTAATCTAGCATCCTCAGCACCTACCCCCTTCCCCCCACTGCTTTTTCTCTTGTGAACACATCCTGTCTTCTGCGTTATCCCTTCATGGAGACACTCAAGTCTAGGAGGCAGCAGTGTCCCCTGGAGCTACATCATAACTCAACGCATCAGGCAGCAAATGGGAAAGAAAACTGTGTTTACTCCGAGCAGTAGTTTTTCTGCAAGAAATAGACACTCAAACCAGGACATTTTAAGGATGAGCATCTGCTGGTGCCCTTTCAGATTTACTATCTTGTAAAGCTTGGGGAAGAACGTGCCATACACACTGAGAACTGGGAATCAGAAACTAACTTCTGTCTGCCGTTCTTGGTAGGTAGAGGGTGGTGTCGAAGCCGCTGTACACGCGTTGTCCTCCATCGGTTACCACATACTCCTTCAGCGGGCCATTCAGGAGGAAAGAGCCACTCCAGTTTACACACACCATAGACAAATTGCTGTCCACTGAAAATGGGGCTCGGTACTGAGGCACTGTTAGGACAAAGGTGTAAATTCTCAAAACTGTAATTTCTTCGTGAGACCATGTGCATGCATTTTTTTTTTCTCTTTTTAATACGAAGAAAAACGAAACAAACGCCTCCAACGTTGACCTAGCCTTGATGGCAAGTTCTGCTAAGATGCTATGCTCCCCAAGCTGGAATCAAAGAGAGGCCCAGGTTCAATCCCCACTCCAACCTAAAGGCCGGGCTTGGTGGTATGCACCTGTCTTTCTGGTCACATGGGGAGACCAAAGCAGGAGGATCATGTGCTCAAGGCTGGCCTATGTCACATAACAACTGTGTTGAAAAGAACTGTCATGGTGGCACACACCTGCAGTCCCGGCTGCTTGCGAGGCTGAGACAGAAAGATTTCCACACAATGAGACCTTGTTTTCGAAAAACAAACCAAAACACAAAACACCCTGGGATTGTTGGAACCTTACAATTTTCTCTCAGTATAAGAACAGCTAGTATTGGAAGTGAAAAGAAAAGCTATCATAACATGTGTGAAATGCTTTCTCAGCAACTTTGCACCTGTTTTCCAAAAAAAGAAAAAAAAATCAATGCAGAGTCGTGTTTTATAAATAAAACTATTAACATACAATGGATCTGCTCACCCACATCACCCTGGAGCTCATATTTTCTTGCATTTTCCCTCTTTTTAACAGGTAAAGTATCCTTAACACTATGAACTACAGTAGATAGCTATTTTTCATATCAAATCAATATTTATTGCTACAAAGCCCCAAGGACTAGATGAAGTTAATATATTTTTTTTTCTCCAAACTGCTTAGATGGTGAATTATGTCCTTTTGGCACCATTTATTTTTAAAGCTTTTTCTTGAACCATGAGTTTGTTTTCTAAGATAGTTAAAAAGCCTTGCAAACAGCAATTCGAGTTTCATAATTCATTGCCCTGACTAATCAATCAATAGCATAGTACATTAGTATATAATCAAGCTGGGGTCTCCTAAGTATTCTATCAGACACAGAGGCAACTTTCTGTGCATTTTATAGACATGCTATTTTCTCGTTTTTTAGTTTCTTACTAAAACAGCGCAAAACAAAAATTCTTAACTGAGGCTCGTATTTAGATAATTTTTGTAGAAAACAGTTAAGGGATACTACACCATCTTGTCAAATCAGGAGAGATTTATTTCATGAAATTTCCCCATCTCCTAACTAATCGATACATTTATAAGAGCACTAAGATCCATCTATATACTAAATTGGCTTTTAAGAAAAGAGTGAGTGGTGGGAATAAATTGGACATCACTTTAAACCATTAGTTGCTGATATTACGTAGGTATTAAGAGAAAGAAAAAAAAATAAGACTCAAATGTGTCTTTAGGGTAGAATCTTGTGATTAGGCTTTTGTAACAAGATTCAACCCTAAAGATGCATTTGATTCTTATCTTTCCAAATAAGACATTTTCATAAAGCCATAGAAAAAATGCTCTGCAAATACTGAAACAAGAGTTGTCGGGGCCAGCAGATTGTGTGGCGGTCAAGGCGCTAGACTCCCACACGGCTGAGTGTGAGTCCTGGACCTGGCAGCTTGCTTTCTCACTTTCCCTCTCTCGCTGCTCAAAATTCAAAATAATAACAATGATAAATAAAATTAAAAAAATAACCTTAAAAAGAGTTGTCAAGCCTTTTTCCAATCTTCATGTTTGCCCAACATTAATCATGTCTAATATTACGATGGAATACACTTGATTTGTCTGTAGTTTCCCTCTGTCACCTAATTCAATAGATTTCCACTTTTCTCTTATATCATTACAGGACAAATATAAGCCTTGCTTAAAAAAAATACTAATTTTACTTGTCTTGGTTTTAGAAACCTTCCTAAGGAAAAAGACTGCTTAGTCAAAATCATCGAGAATATTAGGTTTATGAAACCTCCCTGAAGGAGACTGGAAAGTGATAAGAGCTTCTATGTCCCCAGCACTTGACATACTTCATTTCATTTAATCCTAAAAGCAATCGTATATAGTATATCTGTTTCTGTATATGTTCCTTTCTTTTCTTTTCTTTTTTTTTTTTAAAGAGGTTTTTGCCTTAGGGCATGTGTGCCCTCCAGAAGGGGAGGGGGCATAGTGAGAGGAAAAGTGAGATACCATCTCCTGGGGAAGCTGGCTACACCACAACCATTCTCCCCTCGGGATCTTGGGCATGCATGCACACGTGACTGGTGTGATTTTCAAGCCACTGGGTCCAGGACTCAAACCATGGTTGGCTATGTGGGAGTCCAGAGATGTAACTGCTACCCCATCTGCTGGTCACTCTATATGTTCTATAAAAGAGTAGCCTCTATATTCTTTTTTAATGAGAAAAACAAAACCTCAAACACTTGGCATTTCTGGAACTTTACTTTTGGGATTAGAATTGGCTCCTAATTTTTCAGATAAGGAAACTAAGAGTCAGAGAGGTCAAATACCTTGCCTCATGTCAATAGCTGGTAGGAAACCAAGATCTGAACCCAGGCCTGCTTATGTCCAAGGCCCATATTCCTTTTTCATAATCAGTACACATTTATTTAAAGGAGCACAATTTACTAATACACTTTCTGGGAGCTCTTCACTGGAATGTTGAAGTTGGTTTATCCTGATTGTTAAAAACTCAGAAATTTTGTGTCAGTCATAAGACACAGCTATTATTACATTATATAACAACATAAATAAATTATACTACGATGAAGGTAATACTCAAATCCATAACTATTTGTTTTCCTCTATTTTATTACTATCTGTACTTTACAGGCTATTTACATTCATTGCATCTGGATAGTGGAAATATATAATAATATACCACCACTTCCCCAACTAAGTATTCTGCGCTGTCATGTTCATAACTTGACATCAGAAATGGTGTATTTACACCATGGAAATTGGCAAGCACTTTATATCAGGACATTTTCCTCTCAAGAAAGCTAATTGTTAAGTATTTGCACCTCACCTCTGATCTTCCACTGAAGAGGTAATTCAGGGAGAAGGGACTGAATATATTACTATGCTTCTCTAGACCCTTTCATAAAGTCATATGTGATCACAACTATATAAACTCTCAAGAGTCATGTAAAATTAGCTTCTGGTTTATATTCTCTAGTCCACATTGGGATAGTAACCATACTTCATAGATTTGTTATGAAGATTATTTGTAAAATGCTTCCATGTTGACAGGAATGAACAAGTCCTCTCTAAACATGACTTATTTCTAGCACCCTGCCATGTTATTGCTCGGATACATTAAGGTCCTTGCACACAACATGGGACTTAAATGAGTACATAATACTCAATGTCAAAAAGAGTATTTTAGACGAGATTATAATCTGATATAATCTCTTAAAAGCAAATTGCAATACATATCCAAAGCCTTAAAATACTAAAATATTTGAGGCTATAATTCCATTAGTCAAAATTTAGTTTAAGAAGATAATCAGACATTCGAACAAAGATTTGTTCGAAATATCATATAGCCATTACACTTGTTGGCCAAAGAATTTTTTAATGCCATGAGAAATGCAAATAAAATAATCTCAAGCCAGGACCAGCAGTTGGTGTAATGGCTAGGTCGCTGGACTCCCATGTAGCCGACTGTGGTTCGAGTCCCAGACCCAGTGACTTAAATTCACACTGGGCATGTGTGCATGTGTGCCTAAGATCCCGAGAGGAGAATGGAGAAGGGATTGCAGCATGGCCATCCCCCTTGGGGGATGATTTCTCGCTTTCTATCTCTCTGTCTCTCTCTCTCTTTCTGGTGAGCGCATGTACTCTATAGCAAAAACTTCTCAAAAAAGAGAATTAAAAAAAAAATATCAAGCCTAAAAAGAGACTATAACCTTTTACTTATAGTATGAGATAATTAAAAGTGATACACACTAAAAAAAAAATGTCAAGCCTAAAAAGAGACTATAACTTTTTCATTATAGTATGAGATAATTAAAAGTGATACACTGAAAAGGGATGAAAAGAAATGACTATGCCAAAATATTAGCGGTAGTTGTGTCTGGGTAGAAGGATTATAAGAAGGAACAGCTTCTTGGGGACGTGACATGCAGAGTTGTACAAGCCCCGCCCACAGAAGAGATTTGGACTTAGCCTGATGTTCCAATGTTGCTTAGAATTCTTAATGATTTTTGAATGAAACACCCCATATTTTCATTTCCACTGGGCCCCACAAATTATGTAGTTGGTCATAGGTACTTTTATTATTCTTTTTTCTTTTTAGACTTATTTAATTTATTATTATCATTTTTTAGTTTGATGAGAGAGAGAGAAGGAGAAAATGAGAAAGCAAGCTGCCAGGTCCAGGACTCAAATCATGATTGGCTATGCGGGAGTCCAGGTCCTTAAGAACCACAGATGGTCCCATTATTCTTAATACTTATTATATTTGCCATTTAAACACAATAGATGGATAAATCTATCTTATAAAATCTGAAAGGAAATGATTTTATAAACATGGGATGATGCCACCAATTAATTAGTTGATAACACTGTTCTGCACTCAGCGACCTTTTTGCTTTTCCTGGTAGCGCCATGTCTCAGTGCTACAGATTATGCCATGTGATTTGAAAAGAAAAGGAGTGGCAGGACCAGTAGTTGGTGTAATGGCTATGTCGCTGGACTCCCATGTAGTTGACCACAGTTCAAGTCCCAGACCTGGTGGCTTAAACTCACGCCGGGCGCATGTGCGTGCGTGCCCAAGATCCTGAGAGGAGAATGGAGGAGAGGGGATTGCGGCGTGACCATCCCCCCTGGGAGGTGATTTTTTGCTTTCTGTCTCTCTGTCTCTCTCTGTCTGTCTGGTGAGTGCACGTGCCCTATAGCTAAAAACTTCTCCAAAAAAAAAAAAAAAAA